AATGTATGTATGTAATGTATGTATGTATGTATGTATGTATGTATGTATGTATGTATGTATGTATGTATGTATGTATGTATATGTATTAAACCTTTCACGGTGCCTGTGGCGGAGTGGTTGGAGGCGCCACTACGACACACATGTGGAATCGATCCCAGCGCCTATTGCTCACCAAGCCTTCTTTCCCTCTGAAGTCGACGAATTGATGCTGGACATATCTGTAAGTATAGCAGCACTGGGTCGATACATCGGTGTGCCACCGCGAGTCATTGTAAAGGCCAGATATACATTCAATCTCCTCCAACGGTACTTAATGAAGTCGAATGCATGGTGCATCCCTCAGGGATTGATCAACGACGTGAGCTTTTTTTCTTCTAACTACCTCGAGTAAGCTAATCAAAGAAAATATTATTGATTTCTCGTGTTTGCATGCATGTGCACGGAATAGCTGTCTATATTTATTTCTGTATGGACGTCCGCCCATTTATAAGTATGTGTCTGAAAATTTCGATGCAGTCTACATGCGAAAGTGCTAAGAGAAAACTGTTTTATTCTTGAGAAGGAAAGTGGCAATTAACAAAATCCACACGATTCCGGACAGAGAAATCTCCTTAATTCATCGTCATACTTGGGAGAATTGCAAAAGTCCCACGTCATTAATGTAGAACACCTGAAAATTAACTGAGAATGCAGAGAACAAAAGAAATGAAGCTATCACATACGCCTTGATATCACGGCAGCAAGTCATCGGCGGGGATGTTACTGGAGAAGTTGGGCTCAGTGTTGCCGTCTGAGTCGGTTGGAATGTAGGCGTAGTCCTTGGACGAGATGTTTGCTGAGATGTTGTTTGGGTAATTACTGGACCGCCGGATGCTGCAACACTTCGTGTGGCAGTACTGGTTACATGAGCACTTAATTAAGCGCTGATATGCCAACAAACGTTACCAATTCGATACCGCAAAACGGTTGTGACTTGATAAAGTCTGGTGTAAGTTACCACAGGAACGATATTGTGGGTAGAGACCAAAGATGTGCCAACATTTTCCCTAGTGCAAAATCTAAACACTTTGATTCGTCCATATTTGAGCAAGCTAGCACACTACACACTATCTCACTGGACAGTGTAAAAACAGTGGTAGACGTTCACCTGTAACCAGTGTGTCGTGTATCGCTTCCTGTTTTTATTTCAACTCCTGCGTATCCACAACCATCGACACCACTGCCATCCGTGAAACTATCAAGCACTACCTCAATCTTTGATCCACTTGGTGCCTCAAAAAATGCTAATCGAAACAACAGTACGACCGATCCCTGCTTAACATAATTTTCAATACTTGAATCCAGTAGTGGCACATCGTAAATTCATCGCTTGGTTTGTTCGAATCCTTTTCACCGACTGTGTCTTCAAGCGTTTGAAAGGATGTGGTTGCCGTTAACAACTTACCACAACCACTTGGCTGTAGTGAATTATTGTTGTAAAAAATGATTCGCATAGACTCTTAAAAAAAAATGGTTTAAGTCTAGAATTTTCTACCCTTTCATTGCAAAGTCTTCCGCTATATCCACTAGGACAAATGCATTTAGAGCAGTCTCTAGGATGGGGGAATCCTCCGTTTTGGCATGTCGCCGATGATTTCCCATTGCATTTATCTAGATTAGTTTAAAATTAGCAAAATGTTTGGAAAATCTAGCAGAGAATCCAAAAGCTATGGAACAATTTTCTCACCAAGGCATCCATAATGCAGGTTAATCATGAGTTTCTCGTAGAATGAAATCATCCTGGACCCAAGGGTTTGGATATATTTACTATCACGTGGTGCCATCACAGGCTTACCATTCTTTGAAACACTGAAATTGCAATTACTAGTATTTTGTTCTGGTTTCATACTTGAACATCTACGTCTTGGTTAACCTCCTTGCTCCATAGTGCATAACACTTCCGTAGTCATAAGTCAGATTATAGTTGTAGTTCGTCCTTTCGGTCTGCTTTACAAATTGAGACAACCAACCGTCCTGAAATTACCAATTTTCCTCTGTTGACTACGTAAAGCACTAGTTTTCTTTGGAGATTCACCAGAAAGTTTTCCGTATAAAGTGTGATGAAATTGTCACGATCGTGTCTCGACTGCGTGTGGAAGAGACCCAAGGCATGGCCGATTTCATGCGCAGCGGTTCCAATCTGTACGAAACAAAAACGTTTTCCCGTTATTTATCAACGACAACTATTCATGTTCCCTCTCTACTACAATAACTTCCCAAGAAGAATTCACTATAAATGTCAAGGAATTTTTCGTAGGTCTTACTGTCTCGCATCCCCGACCTAGTGAGAGGCCTTGCGAACCTCCAAGTCTTCCAACATATGACCAGCATCCACCACTTTTTATGACTTCGATTTTATCGGTAGCTGAATATATGACTTTTATACGATTATTAAACTTCAAAAGTTTATCTGTTCTTCTCTTACATATGTTTTTCTCAAACCTGTATTGCTTTCGCTGAAGCTAATGCAAGTATCTGAAGACCATAGCGTAGCAGCTTTTCTGAACACTCTTTTTGCTGCCTCAGCTGAAATGAGTTTCAAATTAAATTAAGCTTAGCGCCGTGTAGGTTTTGGTGGAAATGGAAAGATTTTAAAAAGACGAACTTGCATTAGAGCCGAACGAGTAAGACACTCCATTTGACCATAAGGTCTTAGGATATCTTGTGTCACGGAATGCTTGCCGTTTTTTGCGATGGCCTGCGTTCTCTCTGACATCCTCTATGATCTCCTCGACTTGCTCCCTGAAAGCAAAGACAGAAAATTCAAAGTTAGAACACACCATCAAAAAAAATTCTTATTAGACTCAAGTTTAAGATTAGGTAAATAGACGAACTTAGTGAGAATCATGTCTCCTTGAAACAACGCCGCATCGACTTTGCTGTTGTGATTGACTTCTTCGATTGCATCGCTCATTGGTTGAATATTATGTTTTATGTTTTCCATGTAATTCTAAAAACCCAACTTTCTTTCTTGACTGCCCATTGAAAGAAAGGTGGTATGCTCACCGTTATCTCATTTGATAACTCATTACTCTCTACTGGATTTTGCGCAATACCATCTTTTATGTCTTTTTCCATATTGTGCAGTTGCTCGAGAAGCCTTACTGTTTCGTCTTCATGCGGTTGCTAAGAGAAAAACGAGTTTACAACAAGAGACAATAAATGAAATATGTGTCTGAATATTTCGAATATACAGTTTGTGAGTGAGCCTTACATTTTTGAGTAGGTCATATCCTTCTTTTAATTTTTCTTCAAAGTTCTCATTGTTGCTGAATTGCTCACTTGTTGTTTCCGAGCTTATTCCTGCTCTTATGCAAGTGGCGAGAAATGTGATTAACACAAATTTCATCCTGGGATATAAAGCGTAATGAAATGGCAGAATTTTCCTCTCTTCTTAAATCCAGATCTACTTTGTTTCAAATTTACCCAGTAACGATCCATGCGAAGAGAGAGAGAGAAGGAGAGAAATAGAGAGAGAAAGAGCTGGACCGTTAAACATGGTAAGAAATAATAGACCTATTCATAGTTTCAGGAAAAAATTCGTAAAGAAAGGGAAAAGGATATTCTTCAACTGTGTATAATGCGTGGCAACTATTTAACTTGAAAGCTCGTTTATATAGAAGGTAGAATCAAAGATCGCTAAACGAAAACAATGCAGAAAGTTGGATGGATGAATAGCACCTGTTTGGGCTTTCCATGAAGCAGCTGCCATCAGAGACAATACACAGTTTCCTGCCAAATGTTACGATAGCGGGCAGTGGCTTGCTGTGAGTAATCTCGCTGAACTATCCAGAGTCGTTCCCAAGACCGACTTTCTACTAATCTCGGAATTGATAATTAATCCGATATTTCCTTAATAAGCACACCCGAGGTTGTATTTATATAGTATTTATTCACAACAGCTATGGTTTTGCTAAATGTCATTTTCTTCATTGTACGGAAATACCAAGTTAACCGCAACATAGTCAGCCAAATATGCCCACAAAGTCAGCGAAAAAGGCATAATATTTACTCTGGAATAGCACTGGAAAGAAAACAGCATCTTTACACAATCACGATCTTAATAAGGCTTATTCTGAGTATTTCACATGGGGATCAACGCACAGAGCTCACAAAGACGGGTAATTAGCCCCTCTTAGGTCTAAATATCAGTTTGAGGTATCGTGTGAGATCTGGCGTGGTAATGGTCTCATTATTACAACAGATAAGACTTTAAAATATAGGTTATCGTTCTTTGAAAGGAATCGAAGACTTCGACGCGCAAAACTCTCGAAGCGTTCCGGATAAATTCCAAGAATCCCAGAATTAACTGCAGGGAAATATGCCTCGTTATCACGAAGAACCTCACAAAATATCTCAGAGTGATATATCAGTTGGGTGAGGCCCATAACTCACTCATATTAACTCTGCCCTGTTGGTCTCCACGCGGAACACTCAGTTTAAGACTCATGGAGAGCGGCCAGTGTAGGAAGAAGTTGCTTTGTTTTCAATACGATTGAAGTCTTCGTTTCGTGTTTTTCTGTTTCGGTTACAGAGGTGCTTGGTTGCGTAGATTGAAGTCAACTTGAAATTACCATGCTGTGGGGAAGGTGAAGTCCACCGACACTTCAAATTTTTTGAATAAGGAGTAAAATAACAATCTCGGTGTTTATCAAGAAAGTAGAGAATTACCCAGAGCAGTTTGCAGAACGTAATAGCAAAGAAGAAACGATGTTAAAAATGGCACAACTGACCAACTAGGCGTTATATGTGGAGTACATGTCTCTCAAATCTCTACTTATTCGGAAATTTTCTCGTTATAATTTTAGTAAACAATTCCCTTGTATTAAAATGAGAAATTTACAGGTACCATTAGTCACAAAAGTATCTTTATAACAAATGTGATCATTCCTATGATGGATCTCTCTATTAAATTCAACCGCAAAGAGGTGAGAACGTGAGTTTATTCTATCACGGTTTTTCTCCTTTGTGTTTCCTTGCCGTTAAACGGTACTTTGTAAGCATAGAGGCCTGTTAGTGTGGTTCCAAACACTGTTGATGGATTTGAGAAGCCAGGCCTATTCAGTTGGGGATCACTGCGCTTTTCTGTCCACTTGTTTTTGAGAGTTGGTGAAAAATTGATCATCACACTTTGCTAGTGAAATAAATTACTTTGATTTCAATTCCGTTCTTGCTCTTTTGTTCTTTGAACACTCCGGGCACTCTGTTGATGATAACCAACCGCATGCCGGTGCTCACATCCATAATCGTTGGCCAAAAATCATGTATTGTCTGTGAAGACAGCTGGTTAATCAACACCTGGAGTTTCAATCACAAACGGGTGCCATCCATCCACTGAACTTTGTGTTCACCGCTTCTTGATTCCACTTTTTATGCAAAGTCTCCTTTTCCAGAGCCTGGAATGGTCAAGTTGATTGACTGCAATCTAATCAGCTCAACGCCACCATAACCTTAGCAGGAAAATCACAAAACTAAGATTCTCAGTTGAATTGGAAACAAAATTGCTTCTTCACACATTTACTGGTAGAGAAATGCAACAGGCTAAATCCGCCCAAACGTCAGCTTTCTTTGTGAATAAAAGTATAACAACGATCTTTTGGTGTGCTTTTAAAAAAAGGGGTGAACTATTGATCAGTGTCGAGGGAAAGGGGGTCTTGGAAGTTGAATGTAGGTCAAACTGTCAGTCAACGAACTTGTCAGGAAAGAAAGGTTTTTTGGAAAGCATTAGTTTTAAAAAATGGTTTTTCTTGTCCGACGCCTCCACACTGCACTGCTATCGATGAGGTATCTAATGACTGCAAAAATCTTGGCAAGAAGCTCTGAGCGGTGAAATAAACGAACAGCAAGGAGATGGCCTTGTATAAATCACGTCGGCCGTTCGAGGTACCAGGAATGGGCCTACTCTACCACGTAGTTCGTCGTTATCCGTTAACGTACCTTCTTCATCGCCTTCTTTTGAGTAGCAACGATTCGAGCAGAGTGTCCACAGCAATTCTTTCTTCTTGAAACGTAAGTCGTTGTCGTCGTTGTCGTCGTATGGGCTTATATCCACTAAAATGGAGCCATACGAAGGTTCATAAAACATTAACTTTTTTAAAATGACTCAATATCGCATATTGTGTGGATCCCACCACCCCTTGCCCTCGATCCGTTTCCTGACAATCAACATACATTAATTTCTTTACATTATTTGCATCTGGGTTATGTTGCTGGTTGAGCATTTTTGTTTTTATGAATACCGTTGAATGCTGATAAAGTTGATTTTCTCTAAAATCTCGAAATAGTAGTAGTAAAGCCTTTTCACGTGGATTAGAAAAAATAAGCTAACCACAAACAACGTTTTTATCAATTTCCCAGCTTCTGCAGGAACTGAAGAATTGGTAGACTAAGGGTGGGGTGAACTAGCACGTTGTTCGTAATGAACGACTTCACCACCACTGCGCTACTTGCTGCTCGTTCGCACACATGCAGAGGAAAATTTTTCACGTATTTAGAAGCTGCAGAAATACCTGCCTAACGGCTGTAACCACTACTATGCAGACAAAACTAAACGATCTCTTTGCCATATTCAGTTGCAAGGAAGTGATCAAATAATTCATTTCATCCCCCTTTTTTCTCTCTAATTTTTATTTGTGGTCAGTACGTACCTTGTCAGCGTAGTGGTCTACCAGTACCAATTATAGCTCCAAGTACTATGGATGAGTTTTAGGATAAATAAAGCCCAACCATTGAGGGACCGTTGTAGTATTTTTTCCACTTGCTTTTGAAAAATCGTGAAGAGAACGGGCAAGCATTTCAAAACATGAGTGGTCTGGCCATCGTACATTGTTAACGAAATAAATCATTTTCGTTCTAATTTCGTTTTTGATCTTTCGTTCTCTGAACAACTCCGAATAGTCCGTTGATAGTTATCACCCCGAGTTAATGCTTCATCCACTATCGTTAGCTTAGCCAAAAATCGTGTTTTCTCTGTGACAGCTGATGTTTAATCAACACCTGAAGTTTCAATCGCAAACAGAACTTCCACCCATTGAACCTTGAATTGACTACTTTGGATTCTACTTTTCATGTAAGGTGCTCCCACGCTCGAGATGCCATTCGCAGAGAATGAACTTGTTCTCAATCCATTCATTAGTTGTGGAAATCGTGCTGCTACATCCGTACTTCTTCAGTATTTCTAGGCTGAAAATTTTTCAACAGCTTTCTGTAACCAGCACAGCGAAAGCGTGCATAGAAAAAAATACTGAAAAAGTAATGTTACTTGTTACTTTTTTTGACTGGCCTTCTTAGTTAAATGCTATGCCAAATCACTAACCTTCAGATGTTCAGGTGGCGGTATGCGTCGTTTCCTAAGGAATAAGACTAAGAAATGCATGGAACAATGTGACATAACGGAAAAGATTTTGAAGTAAAAATCACTATACTGGCACAGGAGTCCAAAATATCAGCACGTAAAACTCTTGAAGCGTTTCGGATTAATTCAAAAAATTCAGAAATGGACCCGCAAAGAGGAGTACCATGCGGCCACGTGTGATGTAGCGCCATTTCTCGGACTAATTTTTTGATCTGGGCCACGCACATTTCTCATCCATGTGGACCCTGTGCGGCTGGTCTCCAATAGTGACTGGAAGACTTAGGATGGAAGGACTTAGAACTAATGATGAGAATAAAGTGTGTTTGTTGATTGATAAGGTACGTTTATATTAATATATTAAGCTTGTTCTTTCTACTTGTTTTGTGAAAGTGTTTGACTGAGTGGATTAGGTGTGAATTTCACCCTTCCCTCTTCCGAAGAAGGCGAAAGCCGAAAATCAGCCAGCGTTGTGATGAATAAATCTTCCTTTTAACAATGTTGTCTTTGCTCAGGAAAATAAATGAATCAACGGGATTTCGGCTTGCAGTGCGCGATGGTGATGCTCAAGGTATCCAGTGTTTAGAGTTTCCTCCTTTTCTCTGGAAATTTTAGAAATTTAAGTGATTTTCTTCGTATTTTTGTTGAGCAAATGCGAGGTGTTACTATTCTTTGTTCACGATTAAGCTGACGTTT